CCCCCCCCCCCCCCCCCCCCCCGCCCCCCGGCCTTCCCGGATCGGCGCCCTGGATGTGATCGACACCATGAAGTTGCCCCATAATCCTCTCTGGCAACATAGGATGTAAAATTTGATCAGCTCATTGGACGATGGCGACAAGTCTCAAAAATGTGTGAAAAGGGGGCCAAGTGGTAGGCAGGCGCCGCGTTGGGGCAGCGCTGCAGCCGGTCCCCCTCCGAGTTCTCGGTGCGGCGGCGACGGCGGAGCGGGGGCTGGGGCCGGGCTGCGGGGCCGCGGCGGCGGCGGCGGCGGGGACCGAGGCGGCGGCGGCGGGGAGGCCGCGGCGCCTTGGGGGGGCGCTAGGAGCGGCCCGCGGGGCCGGAAGGGGGCAGCAAGGCGGCGCCGGCGGCTGCGGAGTTCTCTCCGCGGCGTAGCTGGGGGCCGGGCCGGGCGGGGCGGGGCGTGCACCGGGGCCGCGGGCGGCGCGCGCCGGAACAGTTGGCCTCGGGGCCCCGCCGCTCGCGCGACCGCCCGCCGGCGCACGCGGAGGAGGTGGCGGCGGCCGCAGAAGGAGGAGGGCAGCGCGGAGCGGGAGGTGAGGCGGAGGTGGAGGAGCAGGAGCGGGAGCGGGAGCAGGAGCAAGAGCGAGGCGGAGCAGGCGGCGGCGGTGGAGGAGAAGAGCGGCCAGGAGGAGGAGGAGGATGGAGGAGCAGCCGAAGGAGGGCGAGGCCGAGGTCGCGGAGCACTGGTTCTCCAAGTGGGAACGCCAGTGCTTGGCCGAGGCCGAGCAGGAGGAGCAGCTGCCCCCGGAGGTGGAGGACGAGGCGGCCGCCGAGGCAGCGGGGCTCAAGAGCGAGCAGCAGAGGCTGTGGCACCTCTTCCAGATCTCTGCCACCGCCGTGGCCCAGCTCTACAAGGATCCCGGCTGCCAACAGCCAGGACTGTCCGTGTGGGACCCCTTCCAGAACGCGGCCATGGCCGTGACCAGTCTCTACAAAGAGAGCGGGGACGCCCACCAACGAAGTTTTGACCTGGGCGTCCAGGTTGGCTACCAGCGTCGCATCAAAGACGTGCTGGAGTGGGTGAAGAAGGGCCGGAGCACCATCCTCCGCGAAGACCTCATTAGCTTCCTGTGCGGCAAAGTGCCCCCCGCCCCGCCCCCGCCGCGCACCCCCAGGACGCTCCCGAAGCCGCCCGCCTCGGCCGCCAGCCCGGCCGCCGCCACCGAAGCCAGCTCGGCCGTCGAGGTCGACCTGCAGCCTTTCCACGAGGCCATCGCCCTGCATGGCCTCAGCGGTGCCATGGCCAGCATCAGCGTGCGAGCCGGCGCTCCCGGGTCCCCGCCCCAGGCCAGCGGTGTCGCCGGCAGCGTGGCCGGCGGCGGGCGCTGGAAAAGCAGCCTCCTCGAGGACGACTCGAACCCCTTCAACGCCGAAGAACTGGCCCTCCGCCTGGACAGCGGGGGGACCCGCAAGCGCCCCTCGGCCCAGTGCAGTGACAGTGTCACAGGCTCCCCAACCCACAAGCGCAACCGACTGTTCTGAACGGCGTCGTTGGCCACCAGCCGCCATCTTTCTTGAGCATTAACTCGACCGTCAACGTGCTCGGCGAAAGGACACTCGCGACCGTCTCTCTTCTCCAAGTTCAACAGAGATTTCTGCCAAGTTCGCCGTAAAGAAACTTTTAAAGTATTGTACAAGAGGCCTCGGATGACTCTGACTTTCCCAAACATCTAATCCTAGCAGAGAACAAGTATTATGTAGTCGTTTAGCAAGATCAGAAGAAACCAGAAATATTTGGTCAGAGCGGGAGCCTGGTTTATCTTGTTCACAGTTATATTCCTTAGCACCGAGCACAGTTGCTGGTGCTCAATAAATGTTTGTTGAGTGAATAAATGTGACCTTATTTAAAATTCTTAAAGGGGAAGGACTAACAGGTGTTTACTTGGTTGTAGGATACTTTTATCCGTTGTTGTTAGGTTCTTTGCTTTAGCCGTTTTTGCCAGTTTGATTACATGTTATCAAAACGTAAAACTTGGCACCTTGGTGAAATCTGCAGCTTTCTATTTTTGCTCCACTTTACTATGCACATAATTTGTACAGAGTGTCCAAGTCATACATATTAGGCAGTGAGGTGCTTTTTTCTTAAAGAAATAGCTGCTTATTTTGGTGATTGTGTGGTGGTGCAAAGGGGCCCTGTTATGATTGGGCAGGTAATACTTGATGCTGAGTCAGTTCAGTGCTCTTTAGGAGAATTAAGCCAACGATTGAGATCCTGAGGTCAAAGATGGTCGTCCTGGTGGCCCAGTGGTGCTCCTTGTTCCTAGGAATGTAAAAAGTTCCTTTTTCTGTGGTTACATCTTTTTGGTGATCTCTGTTTTGAATTGGAAGACGGAGTAGTCAGACTGACCTGGGTTTGGTATAAGGATGTGGTGGGACACAACTAAAAGAGCATGAGCTTTGTATTAAAAGGACCAACGGTAGCACCCCAGGCCCACAACTTCACCGCATGATTTTGGGCAAATCGCTTCGTGTCGGTTGACCTCCGTTTTCCATCTGTAAAATGGAACTGTGTGTCTCCGACAGGAGTCACGAGGATGAGATGATGTCCATATTTTAAGTAGCACGGTGCTTGACACCCACAGGTACTCAGTAAATGTTCTCCCTTCTCTATAAATAAAAGTCAGTGCAATGTTAAAGCCCACTATATTTTAGAAGAAGCCAGGAAAACATTCATTTAGAAATCAGAAAGGAGAATCTGTGTTTGAACAGGAAACTGTTCTAATAGTTGAAACTTGTCTAAATATCCCACGTCTTGTATTATAAGTGTGTGTAGCTCAGGAGTACCCAGGATCATCACTCTGCATAGTAGGGCAGCCTTGGAGTTCCTGAAATTGCCTGAGGGATCCTCCTTACAACTGGAGTCCTGAGAGATCTACCTCCCCTGGCTTGAAAAAATACAGGGGCGGGGGAATACAAATGGAAAAGATCTGGAACTGAAAGTCCTTAGGGGTACCTAAAGGGTCAGTGTGGTTCTGCAGAGGGGTGGGCTGGAGGTGGGGGACGCGGCAGTGAGGTTGCCGAAGGGGTGGTGTCTCCCCCAGGCTCTCCCCAAGCCAGCATATATCGTATTGTCGATGATGAGTAATATCTTGGTTTTAGGTTCGTATCACAAAGTTGTTTCCGTTTCATTAGCGTGGCCTTTGGAGTAGATCTGTAAGCAAGCAATGCATTAAAATAATACGATACAATAAAGTGAATTCCCTGATAGGATAAAAACTTGCCATTGAGGCACTCCGCGCGTAGCTAGGCACTGTACTAGGCCCTGAGAAGGGATGTAAAAACAAACAAACCATAAAAACAGTCTTTGTCCTCAAGGAGCAGATCCTAACTTGGAAGGTAAATTAATGTAGTCAAAAAAGCACTTCTAGTTGTAGGACAAGCACCTAAGGACTGTGCAGAAGAATTCAGAGGACAGAGGCCTTCCTTGCCAAGAGGGTCGCAGCTTCTGGGGGAAGTGGCATTTGAACGGGGCCCAGAAAAAATGGGTACAAAGGGCACAGGGAATACCAACAGGGGAAGGATATCTAACAGTTTGAGAAGGAGGAAAGCAGTAAAGTGTGTTTGGGGGATCATAGGAGCTAGGTAGGGGAGGCAGGGGCCCAAGTCTATCTGAGGGTCTCAGATGCCTGGCCCAGTACTTTAGATTCTCTCCTAGAGCAGGGGATGATACCACCCCCTTAGGAAGATGGCGGCAGGCCTGCATGTCCAGCAGGGAGACTCTGGAGCAGGGATAGCACAGGGTATCCCTGTAGGATGTTCTTTTTTTCGTTTTTTAAACATGTTTATTTATTTTGAGAGAGAGAGAGAGAAGGGGCAGAGAGAGAGGGAGAGAAAGAATCCTAAGTGGGCTCCATGCTCAGTGTGGAGCCCAATGAGGGGCTTGATCTCAAGACTGTGAGATTATGACATGAGCCGAAATCAAGAGTCGGACTGACTGAGCCGCCCAGGCGTCCTTCCCTGTGGCATGTTCTTACTGGGGACATTGCCCTTTGGTTAATCAGGGTTGTGGAGACGTTTACCTTGATAGGGCTTTCTCTGGGAAGCCTTTGCTCAACTCCTACCGTCCCACACCTCAGCCAGGTAAGAGGCATCTCCAGTGTGTTTTCTGTACTGCTTCTTAAAGACTGAGAAAGCCTTCAGTTCTAGCTATAGAATCTCTTGGAGGGCCAGTCTTGAAGTAACACAATAGCCATGACTTCCCTTTGCTAGTTCTTCCTGCTTCTTGTGTTCCAGAACCTTCCTCCAGGGGAATCATTTGGCCGTCTGGGCATGCAGGACTGCCGGAACGACGGAAACTTTAAATGTTTTTATTATTTTTTAAAATTATTTTGAGAGAGAGAGGGAGAAAAAAAGCACGAGTGGAGGAGGGGCCAAGACAGAGGGAGACAGAGAACCCCAAGCAGGCTCCACGCCGTCAGCACAGAGCCCAACGTAGGTCTCGATCTCACCAACCATGAGATCATGACCTGAGCTGAAAACTAAGTTGGACGCTTAACCACTTGAGCCACCCAGGTTCCCTAGCGACCGTGGTAACATTAACAGGTAGGTATGGAGAGTTATAAGAAGGCATGTCAGGGTGAGGGAAGGGACCTCATTTGTTTTGTTTCCTTCTGTAATTCTTAGTGCTGAGCACGGCGCCTGATCCGTCTGGGTGCACGGTAAATATTTATTAAATGAGTGGATGAGTAAGCCCCCATCCAGACTCAGGCAGAGTTGTCTCCCTTCTCCCTTCTGTTTACACACTGCCCAGGAAGGGCACCTGAAGCCCAGGCTCGAATTTCTCAATGATTCCTCCCCTGCACACCATTACCCATATTTCCAACTATTAGATAAAGCTTTTGGAAAAGTGGTCAGTCGCGTGACCACCTCCCTTGAGAATGTCCTCAGTGCTTATGAAGTTAGCAGCTCCAGGTGAATTAAGATGTCAGTAGGAGGGTCCCTGATGTGACCTGCTTTCAGGAGGAGGCCTCAGTGATTGTGATGCACGGTGAAGTCTAAAGTTCCTGTGCTCCCATTGTGAGATTTGTGATTGATTTTAGGAGCTAATTGGTATGTCTGTCTGCCTGTCTGTCTGTATATATGTTTCTATCTGTCTATCCTGTGTCAAAAGGCCTGAATAAGAAGAAGGGGTTGTTGAGACAATCAGCAATCCTATGACCTTAACGTGTAACGCCACTGGCATCCCAATTCCCACGATACCATGGTTAAAGAACCACAGAGAAGTCTGAAACCCAAGGGACCCCATTGTCAGATTTGTGACTGATTCAAGGAGCTAATTTAAGATAGATCATTGTTGGTGAAATTTCTGTGCAGGCTTCAAGTGATTCTCTTTGTTTGTACTTCTTATCTTTATCATCACTTTGCATCTCTCTTTTTTTGAAAAAGTTTGTTTATTTCAGTAGCCTCTGCACCCAACGTGGGGCTTGAGCTCACAACCCCGAGATCAAGAGTCACATGCCCTTCCAACTGAGCCAGCCAGGCGCCCCTCACTTTGCATATTTCATAAATTTTCCTTTGAGGAGTACAGATGAGAAGACTGAGTCAAACACTTGTTACTAAATAAAATTTCCTCATTTTTGTCCTTTTATAGGAGCCTGAGGAAAGGCTCTGATTTCCCAACCTCTAGCTGAACATTTTATCCATTAGACCGCTGGTCGCTAATCAAAATTCCTTATGAACTGAGAGTTGGGAAACGTTGCAATTAGATCATTTTGCTGTTTATGAAATGATGATTGAGTAGGGTATCAGGGCAGGATGGGTCGTTGATCAGCCTTGGCCTTTATGGAGGTTTCCAGACCTCTTCTAGTAGCGTGGGCATGATGGGATCCTTCCTAAATTCAGAGCCAAGAGAGACCTTTAAAGATCATCTAGGGCAGGGTCAACTATTCAGTTTACAAATGGGGACAACTGACCTCGCCAGGGAGGGCTACAGTGACTCCCACCCCATACCAGGTTCCAGTCCATTGTTTACTTCACTGCGCCACCCTTAGTTATATTTCGTATGACCTTTTAATTAATACGCTAATGATCGAGTGCGGCTAGGAAACTTGTATTGTGAAAGCCACTCTGGCAGGGCTCTCTGTCTTTACTGCCTCGTGTTTATTGGCGGGGGGCTGTTTGAGCGGTGCACTCGGGGAGCATAGGTCATCCCTAGCCACCACCCCCCTTCAGCCACCAGCCCAAGTGGGCTACTTGAAGTTTCCTTTCTATCCTCTCTGGCCTCTGGACTTTTTATAGTTTAATACCTTCCTTATCCTTCCAAGTTGGGGTTAAATGCCCCTCCCCAGAGTTCTCATTTTAGACTCGCCACGGGAATTGTCAATTTCTGTCTGTCCGCCCGCTAGACTACAAACCCTTGAGTCGCGTCCCAACGGGGTCTCTTTCCCAGGGACGTGTGTAAGAATCTCCATCACTGCACGCGTGGGTTAATAAGCCATAGTCAACGTTACACCATACTTTTGTATTCTTTAACGAAAGAATTA